GCAGACGGTAGCCCCTTACAAGGAACAAAATGGGCCTGTTTGGAAAACAGGTCGATTACGGTCCAAATAACTATGTACCCTCGGTTCTCTGGTAAATCTACAATGAAATCCATGGCTATATCCTCCCAAGGTCGGGTTGGATCTGCTACTGTCTGTAATAAAACCAAAGGCTTTCCAGTACGGGGTTTGGCCATAGCACAGACATGGCAACTTCTCACATAGGCCTCTACATCCACTTTAATCCGGGGCCACCAGAATTGACGCTGTACGAGATGTAATGTTTTTAGGAAGCCGAAATGGCCCGCCTGTTTGGCGTCGTGGCACCGCTTGAGAACCAAGTGCCTCAGTAACTCTGGTACGTACAGTTTATTGCCTTTCCATGCTAAACCGTCCCTTTGTGTCAAGATGCCAGGATGGTCCTTCAACCAGGGATCATTCTTAACGGCCATTAGTAGCTGTTAGGTCAAGTCACCCGCCAACTGGCGTGGAACCGCTCGAGCGACCCCCTGTTGGTAAGGCGGCATAATCGCCTGTACAACCTCCTCCCGCCTGCTGTGGTATTGGGGCATGCAAGATAATGCATCGGCCAGGAAGTTCCTTCCTCCCGGCACATACTTCAGAGTGAACTGAAACCTGCGGAAGTATTGGGCCCACCGGACGTGCTTAGGCGATAGGCGTCTCGGCGTTTGCAAAACCTCAAGGTTCTTGTGGTCAGTCCACACCTCAAATGGCTTGGTCGCCCCTTCCAGCAGATGCCTCCATGTTGAAAGAGCCCACCACACCGCATCCTTCTCCCAAATCGCCCATGCCCTCTCAGCAGCTGAAAATTTCCACGACGTGCATGCACATGGCTGCAGCATGCCTTGGCTGTTCTTTTACAACAACACAGCCCCCACATCTACGTCACTGGCATCAGCCTGAACTATGAAAGGACTCTCAGGATCAGGGTGGAGTAGGACCGGTTCCTTGGCAAACAGGGCTTTCAGGTCCTCGAATGCTTTCTGACAGGCCATCGTCCACTCCAGCGGTTGTCCAGGCCATGGCTTACTCGCAGTGTGCTTTGTACATAACAAGTTAGTTAGGGGAAGGGCTACAGCGGAAAATGATGGAATAAATTGCCAGTAAAAATTGGCGAAGCCCAGGAAGCTTTGTAGCTGGCGACGAGTGCGGGGTGCCTGCCACTCCAACACTGCTCTCACTTTGTGTGGGTCCATCTCTACGCCGTCCCCTGAGATCCTGTAACCCAGGTAGTCCAGCTGAGCCCGGTGAAACTCGCACTTAGAGAGTTTCACAAAGAGGCAAGCATCCAACAGTTTCCTCAGTACCTGCCTAACTAGGTGGACATGTTCCTCCAAAGTGGTTGTATATATTAGGATATCATCCAAATACACAAGGACCCCACGGTACAAGTGCTCGTGCAACACCTGGTTGATGTTGGAACAGGTGACTAGCAAACTTTAATGCAAAAGAAAAGTCAGCACTGGGAGTGAATTGCTCCCAGTGCTTTACATAGTTGTGCTCCATCCACCAACCCCACCCCACTTAGCAAGCCAGCATCCGGTCCGTATGGATAATAGGCGTAGTGCACCACCCTTTCCCCCCCCTCCAGACACACCCACGGAGCCTCTGATGTCCCAACCATTTGTTCTGATAACGAGGCAGCTGGAGGAAGGGAGACGCAGCCAAGGTAAGGCACAATCCCTCCCTCGTCCTGCTTATCTAGTCCCTTGTCCAGCTGGTAGGAGGAGTGTTCCTGGCTTCTGTCTCCTCTGAGGACAGCATCTGCGGCATCTGGCTGCATGCTCCCCATCTCCCAGCCCATGGCAAGCCCAGGGGCTTGACACTGAGGTATGCCCACTGTCACATTTTATCAGACAAACAAAAACAAGGGGAGAAAAGTGGTCCCTCAGATAGCCAGATCCCCTATACCAGGTATGAAGCCCTGCCTAGCCAAGTGTAGTGGGGGAGGGAAAGAGGCAGCACAGGCAAGGACTTACAGTGAGAGAGTCCTCTGGAGTTGCAAAGGCCCCAGGCTCATTTCTGGCTCACCCTCCCCCATGAGAAAGGAGGAGGGGCGGAGATAGGAGAGCCTATAAAAGGAGGCAGTTTGGGCAGGAGAGGGAGAGAGAAAAAAAGCAGCAGCCTTGGGAGGAGGCAGAGTCAGCTGCACCGAAGGGGAAGAAGAAGGAGGGGGAGGGGAGGGTGGGGGGAGAGGAGAGGAGATCAAGCAAGCTGGCCATGAGCCAATTTACAACTGCTGTGGCAGCCACCTGTGCTGGCAGCAGCAAACAGGCAAGAAATGCAGCGGGGGAGGGGGTCACCCTCCAAGAGGAATGAAAAAAGGCAGCAATGGCTGGAGGTGAGGCACGGAGGAGGGAGGAGGGAAGGAGACGGAGAGTGGAAGGATTCTTATGTGCTTTTGTGACTTTGAAGTTCTGGGATTTGTGCAATGAGGGCTTTGTGTTCTTAAGGAGTGTTTGGCAATTTCTATTTGGCTGATGGCTGATGTCTCATGTTAGGGTCTATTTCTCTGCTGTTGTTAGCTGTTAAGTTTTGCTGCAAGGGATTTTGAAGTTTTGTTAAATCTTTGTTATTTAGGGGGAAAAAGTTTAAAAATTTAAAATTATGATCTCTGTTTGGGAGAAGACTTGATAGGTTTTAATTTAGCGATTTAATATTTGGGAGTATTTATTATAATGTTTAATAAACGTGTAAAGATAATTACGATATATTATGATATATTAAAAGTGTATAAGAAGTTGATAGGTTTTGATTTAGGAGAAAAGGTTAAATTTATGATTAATAAATTTACTTGGGTCTGGGGGGGAAAGAGTTAAGAGCCAAGTTTATATTGTTTAAAAGAAATATACATCTCGGGGTGGAGAAGGTGGATAAATTATATGAAGAATAAATATGTGATTTAATGGATAAATTATGATTAGAGTAGATATGATTAAAAGTATTGTTTTGATTATGAATAATTTTTGGTTTAAATTTGGAATTGTTTAATTTGCTTTGTATTTGATTTTTATAGTTGATTATGAATAATTTTTGGTTTAAATTTTTTAATTTGTTTGAATTTGTTGTTTAAATTTGTTTCGTATCTGAGTTAAAGTAAGTTATTGATTTTGTTATTTGTATAGTTGGATAGGTTTAGTTAGATTCAGTTTGTATTAGTTAAAGTTAAGTAGATTTTGTTTAATATGTTTGAAAACCCTGTGCCAAGCTCTGGGAAGTGGGGGGAGGGGGGTTGGGGGTGGTGGGTGTTCTGGGGAGTGGGGGGGAGGGGGGGTTGGGGGTGGGTGGGAAAGTAGGTTAGACAATAGGATTAAAGTAAGATAATAGATGGGACAACTTATGAGAGAGATGTTGCTTGGGCATTTCCCCGGCATTGTATCCGAAGAGGGATGAGAGTGGAGGCGAAAGGTTAGGGAGGAAGTAGGATGGTGAGAGGAGAGGGGAAGGGGAGAGAGAGGTGAGGGGAGGTGAGAAAGAGGAGGGAAGTAAGGGAGAGTGTTAGAGAGGGTGGATGCAGTTTGGGGGGGTGGGCAAGCCACACCTAGGTGTATTTATTTTATTTTGTCAAATGTGATTTTTTTTTCTTTTTTGTTTATGTAATTGATAAATGAAAAATAAAAACTTTTAAAAAAAAGGCAAAAGAAAAAAGAAAAAGAAATACTGAATGGCACACCAAACTTCACCCAGTACTTTGAAAAGAGTTTAAGCATGGGTTTCTGTTGCATGCAAAGATGGGGCAGTCCTTCCACTCAAAGAAACAAGTTCTTACAAAAAAGAGAGAGAGGTATCTGTGCCAGAAAGATCAACATCAACTGATTTAGATCAAATCCACATGATAACCAACTTCAAGAAAATTAAGTCTTTGCTGTTACTGCCCAAGGTGCCGCTTCAAGAGGGATCCATTAATCATCCTTTCGAGTCTTATTAAAACATTCAATCTAATACTACAAAGACTACCCTATTGACTTAAAAAAAATACAGGATGCCTTATGCAGCATATAACTCAATGTTCCAGGGGGACAAATAGATTCATTAAATGACTTGACAGCAAAAAGACTTTTTATAGCCTTAATGTGTAGCTGCTATCACAGAGCTGGCATGAGGTCAGCAGTGTAAATTCTTAAAGCAGAAGGAAATTTTTGCTGTTGGGGCATTTAGGACTGAGTGAAAGCAGATGCTCTAATAAAATATTTGGCAGGGAAAGAGAACAAGCTGCTAAAGAGGAGGAAGTCAGTAGGGAGGGGTGGATGGATGGATGGAAGCTAAGATGAAAAAAATCCAAATGAAAAGGAAAGCAAATTTTGTCACTGCCAGAGATCAATAATGGGTTATTCTTATTTGCAAGCTGAAGAATTGGACACTCTTCCAAAAGAGAAACATTCATAAGACAGGCCCCTTTCATAAGGGCAAAAGCTGAAAAATGTTCAGCTTCTGAAAAGAGAAAGCCAATAGTTCCATGCCTAGCTGCCAGTCTTTTTCAGGAGAAATGCAATCATTCAGGCACGAGCATATTTAGAATATTACTCATATCCCAAAGTGAACCAATTCCTTTTGGAAAATTTCATTTAGGTTACTTTAAGTCATTAGAAGAGATAGTTATTCTGACATTATTTATTCTTGAGAAACTTATAATTCCTGGTAATGATAAAATTACTTTTCAAATACTTGCAGACATCAAAATGAACAATTTAATATTTTGCCAGTACATATATTGGACAAATTAGTCTGCTGTAGTTTCCCAGATTCTCTCTGTCTAGAGTATTGGGATATTTGCTTTTCTCTTGTTCTTGAGAAATGTTCAAAGATTACAAACAGTGATTTGAAATTCACTTCTGTCAGCTCTTTTCCTACCTTGGAATAGAATTCATCTGGTTTAGAAAGCTCAATTTACTTTAGCAAAATGGGCTCTTGCTATATTTTTTTCATCCCTAAACTGCATCCTCTTTCTCACCTTCAAGTGCATTGAAAGGGTTATAAAATTCTGCCTTCTCACTATTCCCCTCTATTATTTTCCTACCTTCCCTGCATAACAGATTCTGTTCCAGAATCTCCCATTTGATTTTGACATGCCATTTCAGAAATGATAGGGATTAGAGTGGCCCCTTACTCCTTGAGACCCCTTTCTTGTCTCCTCTGTTGTGGAACAAATCCCTGTTCCTTAGAGACCCATCCTGCAACACCTGAGCACTCTTCACCTCATTTGATGAGTCTCAAAAAAGCCTTTCCTTTCACCTTCTCTTCCACTAAACATACAAGACTGTACTTGCAACAGGTATACTGTAATAGTAAGAAAATGAAAAAGGATGCACACATCACAAGACACCATAATTGTTTCCCCACTCACCATCTTTTCAACAGGATCTAAGACAAAATCCCAGCTCCCTAGCTGAACAAAGGCCTTGTCCTTAAATACCCCAGTCCAAGATACAAAGAGCTTTTGACTGTGGATCTCTTTTGGTGGAAAACGACATTTGCAGAAAAAAGGAAAGAAAAACAGAATGGTTGGTAAGAAACTTTCAGCCCTATTTTTTTCCATTAATGTTCTCCCATTTCATCTTTTTGAGTTTTCCTAGCCAAAACTGGATTAATTTTCATACTGAGCACACTATAACACAAAAGCAGTCAGACCACGACTTCCAAGTATTTCATGCCCACTTGAACTGTGGCTAGTTCAAAAGAAAGCTGAAGGAAAGTTTTCCAATTTAGCATTGGACATGTGTAGATAAAGAGCATAGTCTCGCTCTTCCCTTCATTTGGTCTGCCTTCTTCCTACCTGGTTCTCATAGCCTCAGCAGACTGAAATGTTGCCCCCTCCTGAAAGGTTTAATTGGGCACTAATTTGGCTACAACTTAAATTCAGTTCACATTAGTTTTCTAAAAGCAATGAAGCAAACTCATCCAACCAGCATGGATCCATTTAATACATTCTGCATTTAATTTCACACTCGCCTGTTCAGGGTTCTGCGTTCATAAACAGAATAGATAAGATGTATGCAGAATCAACCAATAACTGAGAATGCTTTCAAAAAGGATATTTGTGGTGAGAAGAGATAGGTTCAGAAGAACAGGATGGTACAGTATTGGGATGATTCAATGTGTGCATGCCTCACTTCTGTCCAGCTCATGAACAATTAAAGAATATACTTATCCAGTGCTTTATTCAAAGCCAAGACTATTGATTGACTATTTGAATCCTTCCTGTCTGTATGCATGTATCTTTATTTTATTAATGCAGCAGAGTCAACAACATCTGTAAGTGAAGAGGCATGTAAGAGGCTCCATCTTGATGTCCTCAAGTTCTTTCTGCAGCTTCCTAGGAAGCATAAGAGGCAGGAAGGCAGATGGAAGAGGAACAAGAAGGCAAAATGCCCATGGCCTTCTCATACTTGACTTTAATCAAGAGGTTCCTTTCCAGCCTGCAGCTTTGCTAGAACAGAATAAATTCATCCAGCTCTACTCCCAAAGCAATTCTGCACACCTAAATACAGCATGCTGACATTTTTTTTTTGTCTTGTTCTGTCTTTATTACTTGGCCATATGAACATTTCCAATTTATCTACCCATAAACATGCGATGCAAAATTAATGCAAATATGGATTTTTTTAAAAAGTCCATGGAAGTTGAATTTCCTAAAATGATTACACTGTTGAATTAATGCAGCCTCTCACTATTCATATTAACTCATCTGAATTCAAATTCATTCAGTTTCAAAGCATTTCCAGCTCCATTTGAATTTGAAGCTACCCAAAGGAGGCACATTTGATTCTGAATGCCTACTGGAGTGAGAGGGTACCTAAATCTAAATTACAGATTTCTTTTCAGCATGCGTGACAATTTTGCTATGCAGAGTTGGTTCACCTGGCCCATGGCATCTGGCTTGATGTGCAGAAATAGCACACTGGACTGTTTATGTAGAATCTGATTCTAAAAATATCCAATACAAGACCACTGATTGAATGCATTTCATTATTGGTTCTCAGAAGGCTGCATCGGAGTAAGAAAAGTTACTCAAGTCATATCAAGTAAGTAGAATAATGGTTGATGAGATTTGAAATCTACCACATTGTGAAGTGAACAGCTTGCAGAAGATTGAGCCAGGGAATACTCAATGAAGCCTTTCAGCGCCATCTAATCAAAATGTGTGCTGGGAAAACATACAACATGCTACAAGAAAAGACAGTGATAGGGATGCACAGTGTCAGAGAGCCCTGTCTGTCATTATTAACCATGGCTAGAAAATCATTGCTGTAACATATAGAAGACAGAATTTCAAGATTAACAATTCAGAATCCCTCCTTTTATACATATTGAGATAGCACATCTGCAAAGAGTGTCACCTCAGCCAGGGTACTCAGTGGTTCATTTCTCTAGTTTCCTGCCTTAAGCCAACAGAACAGTTTTTTTCTGAACATGGTGGCCCCCAAATATGTCAGACCAATAGCTCCCATCACTCACACCCATGATGAGACCTTTTGGCTGGAAATGTGGGGAACTGTCATTCTAACACATCTGAAAGGCTATCACTTGTAAGAAGCAACTAATGGAAGTCCAATGTGACTGACAGACAGACAGACAGACAGACAGACAATAAAATCAGACTGCTTCCTGATGTTGATAGCTCCTATTCTCCTTGTTTATTTGCTGTTTTGGCTTGTGTTGATAGGAACTAGAGGCCAACATGGGATAAAGTTGCACTATTCTAATCCAGATGCCCTATCTTCTTTCCAGGAGGACTTTAATACAACATTAGAGCCGAGGTGGTGCAGCAGTTAGAGTGCAGTACTGCAGGCCACTTTAGCTGACTGTGTTCAGCAGGTCAGCGGTTCAAATCTCACCGGCTCAAGGTTGACTCAGCCTTCCATCCTTCCGGGGTAGGTAAAATGAGGACCCAGATTGTTGGGGGCAATGTAAATATATATATACATTGCTTACTGGTGTACACCGCTTAGAGAGTGCTTGCACTTAAAGCGGTATATAAGTCTCATAAATAAATAAATAAATAAATAAATAAATAAATAAAAGGCTACCAGGATCCTGAATACAGAATGGAAAAATCACGAATCTGATGCACCGATGATCAGAGCAGGATTCAGTTCACTGTGTAGCCTTGACTAAATTACTATTCTTACTACTATTATGTAGTACTCGATATCCCACAGAGGTTAACCAAATCAGGCATGTCAGAAAGTCCTAGGTTCAATTAGACTCCTGTAATGTGTTCTAAATAGGACTAGCTCCAAGTTCAGTCCACCATCTTAAGTTTGCCAAAATCATCAGCAAACATGGTTTCTAGAACTTGAGAAATATCTGTGCTAATAGCAACTCTCTGGCTGCCTGTTATTTTTACTTCTTTATATGGCTTCAGTCCAAGTTACTTCAGAGAATGCCTCTTCCTCTATATCTCTATCCCAGAATATCTGCCTACATTTGGGATTGGGATCAATCTTTCTTTGTATGAGAAGTCCTTGGCTTAAGACCACAGTTGGGATCAGAATTTCCGCAATGGGCAGAAAAGAGCTTGCTAATGAAATCAAATTGCTTCCTCGTGTCGATAACTATCCAGCAAGAACAACGAACAAGGTGGTTTTAAGTGAGTCACACACTCAATTTTATGACCTTTTTTGCCACAGTGAATCAGTGCACTGCAGTTGCTAAGTGAATCATGTGGTTGTTAAGTGAATTCAGTTTCCCCCATTGCTTGTTGGAAGCTGTCTGGAAAGGTCACAAATGGAGATCACATGATCCCAGGATGCTGCAAATAGATGCCAGTTTGATAACCATGGGGATGCTATGACAGATTTTAGTTGAAGGACCAGTTGTAAATCACTTTTTTTCAGTGCCATTGTAACTTTGAATGGTCACAAAATAATTGGTTGGAACTCAAGGACCACCTGTAATTGCCTGTCCCAATTCTCTAAAGTGCCCTCCTAGCTGATTGGATATTCGATCCTAACCTCTATGCTGGTTTTTCAAAAAGCTTTAACAACAAAGGATGTTATACATTTACAATTGCTTTTGAATTGATTTTAATGTCTCTGCTTTTAACTTTAGAAAACTTTAAAAATACAACCCTATATTTCTATTAACTGAAACAAAAGATATTGTATTTTCTTGTGAGTAGGTACAGAGACTGCATTAAATGGGCGTTTGTGCAATATAACAAACCTTATTAATATTGTTAGTATTCAAGGAAACATGCTTAAACAATAAAACACAGTTTTAAAAATCGTGTAGCAAATGTGATTATTAATTCAATTTATAAAGCTGCCCATCACTTACATTTTATTAAAGGATAAAACCAAAATCTTTTATAAAGGTCTTCCTTTTTTTAAAAAAAATGGTTCAAATAATTATTAAAAACAGGAAGAGAAGGAGTGTGTCAGCTTTCCCTCAGAAAGACTTAACTTAACTGCTCCTATGAGAAGACAAAGGAGGCTTGTTCTAAAGACAGAAAAAATATATAATGAAGGTGTAGAAATATTTTGGAATTTTCAAGGTCAGCAATGGGCAAGAATGGAGCAATCAATGTCCAGAATATTTTTCAAGGGCTGCAGGGCTTAATGATGAAAAATAAAACCAGAAACCTTGAAGAACACCCCATCCACTCTCAGAATCAAAGTTATCATTTTAAAGATGAATTTCAGGCTGTTTGAGGAAGACATGTGGGAAGGCTCTACTCTACTCTACTCTACTCTACAGGCTCTATTCACAATTCAAAGTTCTTTAATTGGGTGAACATTGAGTATAGGCAATTTAGGAGAAACTGTGGTTTAAATGGTGGGAATGGAAGGCTTTGGGCAGCTTTCTGCTCCCACTGTCGCCTTCATTTGGAAAAGAGAAAATAGACCTTCAACATCTGGCCCATTATTCTCAGTAAAGGAGCTCAAACACTGTAGGCCCCACTGTGATGAAGAATCCCCTGACAGAATACTTCTGATCATTAGGACTAAAGCAATATGTTGCTCCTATGCTCTCCCAACCCAACAATGGATTTATTTTTCATAGAAGGCAAGGGAAAGTATTGCTGCCATTGAAATGGAGAAAATAATATTCCTCCTGTGGATTGGTTGCTATTAGATGCATGTCTTCTGCTCTTGGACTAAGAGGTTTAGTTGTTTTTCTGCACTGTGAGAGAATTTAAAATCAAAACTTTATGGAGTAGAATTCATAAAGCCACGGGAGGGAGTTGGGAGTGGTGGTGATAGGAGAGAGTCCATTTAGACAGTCCAACCTGATCCCAGAGAGATTTTGCTTAGACTTCTAGCAAGTGAGATAAATGTCTGACACATCTGATGACACATAAAAGGCTAACTCCATAAATTACTTATGGATGCAGCAGAAGACTTCCCTTTGGGGGTTTACATCAAAGACCATTTGATTATATAATTTTGTCTGTGCAACACCCTCATAATCACACCATAAAGCATAGAAACTATTATTGTAAGGTCTAAAGCAAAGGTCACACAGCAATTAATGAAGGGTTTTGCACCTACAAGACTTTTAGCTTTTTTTTACCATTGGACTGATGTCTTCTTTATAAGACCCAGAGTTCCATCTATCGTCAAAATACAATTTATATCAGCACAAAGTGCTGCACAGTGTTGTATATTGCTCACTACTGTGAAATTTATGGGAAAAGCTTCAGAGGTTGGCCATCAAGATGATTTTCTTTTTGCTTTCAAATATTGAAAGCTCACTTAGGTATCTCACATGTGACCCCAAGAAATGGCCATAACTTCTAAAACAACTGCTTTCATATTAATCTAAAACTCAAAATGCTATTCTTTTTTAAAAACACTTTTAAATCTGTCATCTTGGTACTCAATTCACTTAGGATTGAATTTCATTGAAATAAAAATGGGGTTTCATTTGAATGAAAACATTGCAACCATTCTCCATTGTCATCTTCCAACAAAATGAAATGCTATTCACAGGGGATTTCACCATTGACAGCTAACTGTAACTGTAATATTAAGAAATACCATGCTTTTGCACTTCAGCTAAGTATTGCCCTCAAGATTAAACCCTTGTTTCACCTTGACCTACATGCATTTTCCATTATAGGACCAAGGTATGGTACTGGGGCCAAGAAAACCTTGTTTCAGATCCACCCTTAGCCACAGGAACTGATTGGGTGATTGCTGTAGGTTACGGGTGTCAAACTCGATTGCGTCACATGACATATTGTGATGTATTTTGCCTTTGCAGAGATGGAGTGGGTGTGACTGGAGTGAGTGTGGCTGGAGTGGGCATGGCCCGTGTGTGACGCATTCAGCTCACGGCCACCAGTTTGACACCCCTACTGTAGGTTTAAAAAAAGGGAAATTCCCATCAAAGCTCTGGGAGGAAAGGAGAGGCATAAATCTAACAAACTAAAAACTCAAAAAGATAAACCAAATTATAGCTAATCATTGTTTTTTTGCTATTGATTTTATTATGAAGCCAACTACATATGTTCAATATAGGTGTCTTTCAAACTAAAATATGAGTTTTCCACTTGTTGATTTACAAGAAAACTCAGTGACAGAGCTGTTCAAAAGCAAAGTCATTTGGTATATATGAACATTATGCAACCTAAGGCTGTGTTCATACAAAGTGCTTAACTAGGTCAGGTAAAGTCTTAGCAGAGCCATCCATCCATCATGAAGCTTGATTAGCTGCTGCTGTTGCTTCTTTGCCACAGTGAATTACAAAAATCTAGACCTCTTTATTATTTACGGTTCAGTGTACCTTGTCAAGGGAGAAAGTGGGTTAATTCAGTAAATTCTAAGGTAAGCATGTTGTGTGAATACAGCCAATACATAAAGCAGCTCCTGTTCATGAAAAGAAAGTTTCATTTAAAGGAACTATTCAAAAAATACACAGAAAGCATACAGGACAAAAGGAAATAGTAACAATTCATGCTGAGATGTCTGGCAATCCCAGCACAACTGGTTGGCACCTTTTGGAAGAAGACAACCTTAAAATGATATGAGCTTTCCCCAACAGCAGGAGGCAAACCTTAGAAATGCACTTGGAAAGACAATTGAAATTTCAACTACTAAGACTTTTCAAATAGTATTTCACCATATCTCCCAATGCCAGGGATGGACCCAAACATATCAATTCAACTGTGTGATAGCTTGCATCAGATAAATGTCAAAATATTTGTATCACCACAGCCCCAGTGGGAGAAGACTACAATTAATAAGAGCATATTGTACAGCCAACAATGGACAAAAAATCAAGAACTATAGGTGAAATGTATAGTCTAATTTTAAATTTAGCCAGAATAGCTGACAGCATCTTCCTTTGTGCCTTGGTTTATTTTTTTTCCAAATTCCCACCAATTCAAGAAAAAGGAAAGTTGAATTTGGTTCTTAACAGATTGCATCAACCTCTAAACTGCAGGAAGAAAATTTACATCTGAATGCCTCCTCTCCTGAGTGTTGGGAAATAGTCTAGGCAAGATCACTTCCTAACCCATATGAAGGTATAAGGATTTATTGTACAGTCTTGTGTAAAAGCTGGACAGCATCATGGGATTCTTCTGAGTTTGCAGTGACTATTTGCATAGTCTCCACAGAATAAAAAATCCAACAGGGAAAGTATAACTATGGTGATTTCTTACATGGCATACCCCTCATCCAATTCTAATTTTGTCCACAGAGAGTCCTATTAAGAGGCCACTCAAGGACACGATGACTATTATTACCATGTGTAACATTAAACACACATTTTTAGCTTTTTAATATGTACATGTATGAATACTCTCAGAACACCTAAAATGCAGATAGAAACCTTTTTTTCTGATTAAACATACACTTTCTAGAATATGTTGGTTTTACATCCAGATTAGAGGAGTAGGATATGCAAAGGA